GATATTAATAAGGAACCAGCAGATCAAGTAGCTTTTGGAATAAAACACCAATTTTTTTAAAATTAAACACTATCTAAAGATTTGCATCGAAGCGTTTATTTTTGATAGTGATTTTAATCACTGTCAGATATCATTTACTTGATCCAACTATGCCACGTCACCACTGTGCCGCGACCCCCCTGTGCTGGGTTTTTTTTTAATTTATAGCGTTTCAATCTTTTTGTAAAACTTTGTTCGTTTATATAATAATTCAAAGATTCTTTGAGTATAGTTATACACTGTTGACCGGTAATCCGATAATTGACAATAATTGATATGCATCTGTAAATGGTAGTAAATATTTGTTAACAGTGTATAAAACTGGCCTGGGCTAGTTTTTTAATTGCTTAGACCTTAAGTATAAGCTATTGATGTACTAAAACTGTACATGCTATTTTAAAACGTTTAATAATTAAAGACATTAAAAAAAAGGTAATGAATAATCAAAAAAGTTTATTCTTATTACATAAATACGACCTCTGGGGCGAAAATTGCCTTACCGCCAAATTTATAACAAGTGGGAATTCCGTAATAAGGACTAAAAAAAATCAATTAAAGCGTTTCTATTTTATTTTCAGTAAAATAAGTCTTTTTTTTTTTTAATTTCTATACAAAAACTAAAAAATACGTAGTTAAAAATAAAAAATAATGTAATGTATATCTCCACTGTCAAAAAAAATACATCATAAATCAATAAAACGATGGAATTAAGTAAAAAATTGTATACTTTTCTATTAAAAAGTATTCAGTAGTAAAAACATTTATGATAATTTAAAATAAATTTACCGTTGACTAATTTAATCTTTAAAATTTAATTATATCATTACAACTTTTAATAATCATTTTATACGCATATTTTATTAATAGATTTTTAATAACTTAACTTCAAGATGTCGTATCTACTAGAACTGTCTACTAAACGAAACTTCAATTAGAATTTACGAAATTCACCCTTATTTCTAATGTTGAAATCGTCAAACAATAACAGTTATGTAACTTAGGACGCTTAAATTTATACTAATACATACTCGAAGCTGAATTTTTTAGCTATGAAAACTTGTAACGGACGCTGTGAAAATATTCAGTGCCTACCACTTTTAAAAATATCAACCCGTCCAAAGGTATTTATCAGATGAACTTATTTGATAAGTACGGTCTTTAACATAGTCCATAAAATTCCGTGTCATCTTAAAAAAAAATTAACGTACATTTGAGTGGCTATAATGTTGTGACGGGTAGGATAAAAAATCATAATATTTGAATTATATTATTTATCAAATAACACAGTTCTATTTCCGTATATTCAAATAAAATTATAAGCTAATAGCACAGTCGACAAAACAAATTTATTTATATGCTTATGACGAGATTTACAGCGCACATATTACTTAGTAAACTTAGTGTCAGCACAAAATCCAAGTTGAATAAGTAGTTTTAAAAGTTTTAAAAGCACCTACATTATTACAAAAAATATTAAACTAACTAAAGAAATATTTAAAAACAACTTTCACAATAAAAAGAGAAAATTAATATTTTATTATTTATAATTATAAACTATTTTGGTGTTGAAAAATGAGTAAAAATAACTTGCTTTAAAAAATTTGCTATTTAACTGTTCAAGATGTGGTTTATAATATTTAGTCATAAATTTATTTTATATTGACTTTTATTACATTAACCTCGACCTAGTTAACTACACTTAATTATCACACATAGCCAACTTAGGAATAATTTTCCTATTAAAACTTTGAGGGCGTTTTAAGCGAACACGACTTTATATTGAAACGTAACTTCATTCATTTTTCATAAGATCAATTCATAAAATTTATGTTTTCTGGTTACATTTTCAGAACCCACTACCAAAATCATAGGCGGTCCAGAGTTGTACATTGGCCAGGGTAGTACTATAAACCTCACCTGTTTGGTGCAATTCGCCCCAGAACCGCCACCCACAGTTGGATGGACGCACGAGAAACAAGTGAGCGACGCATGCAACTAAGAATAATGTCTTTTTTTTTTTTGGATTAAGCTTTGGAAATGATTCATTTTGTGACCTCTACTTTTATGTAATGTTTTCGCTTTGTTTGCAGCCCATAAATTTCGATTCACCGCGAGGCGGGATAAGCCTAGTAACGGAAAAAGGATCGACCACCAGCAGCAGATTATTAATTCAAAAGGCGTCGTCTTCAGATACCGGCTACTACTCCTGCGATCCGTCAAATGCAAATTCGGCTACCGTCAGGGTTCATATTTTAAATGGTTCGAGCTTTAAAATTGCACTTGGAAATATGTATAGGCTGCGGTCATTTTATTAATGCCGTCACCGCCAAGTCGGTGGCAGCGGCAAGTCATACCCACACGTCTGTTCATACTTTATAACCGTATTATCACCTCACAGCGATAATAATAATTTACAACACGCATCCGGGCAATATATAACGTACAATCAATATATTATTGTATTAAATACGGTGTACGATCTAACAGTAAATATATCATAAGATCAGCATTCAACGAAAAGAGCAACAAAAATTGTTTCCTTTGGATCATCCGTTGAATAAACGTTTCTGGTGATATTTCTGCAATCTTTTGAAAGTTCGATTCACATTTTATTAAATGTTTTACCAACATTAAATAAAATGTTTTACACACATTCTAGTTTCAAAAAACCAACCACAAATTCATTTTTATTAATTGAAATAACGCTTACGTTCTCTAGTATTAAAGTGTACCTAATATCGATAATGAGGATCTTCCAGGTAAAATTTCACTTATAAAGTATGGACGTAAAAAGTATTTCCATACTTCTAACACTTCAGTTAATCTCTTAATTCTTTCTTTAAAGATTATTATGCAGTCAGTAAAAATAGTGGGGTATAAAAACCCCTTAAAAGCTTCGATTCTATCAACACATTTAGTTCGAAATAATTCACTCGTGATCATTATTTACAGTTTATCTCGACATTTATAATTCATAACATATCTGCAGTACTTAATTATAACAAAAATAATTAATGCACGAGACAACGAGGACGGTTTAGCTTTAATTGCACTTGTGTATTTAACTTTGCTTAGGTCTATTGCGGAAACCATAAACTTGCTTTAATACTCGCTCAGTTTTGTTAGTTAAAATGACAAATGTTATTTTTTCTAGGTGAGCATCCAGCCGCAATGCACCATGGACAAGGGAGCATTCCACTATGTCCACCAATTGTAAGCGCAATGATAGTGCCACTTTTGCTCATCTTCACTGCCAGAGATCTATAGTTACGACTATGAACGACTTCAATAAAAATGTACAATTTGTAATAAAAAAAATCTATAGAGTTTATCGTCATAGGATTTAGTCTATGTTCACTCTTATAAGTCTCAAGCTCAACAATGGTTAAACCGGGGACTCGAGTACTTGAAGTTTTATCACTACTAATAGTGATAAGGGTTAGAAATTAAAAGAAATCGATTAAAGTATGATTTGGCACTAAAAATAAAATTGTAATATGAAATATACTAGAAAAACCAATTGTTTATTTATAACAATTTATCCAACTTATCATTATAAATACCGAAAACAATCCTTAATAAAATCAATAATTTTTTCAACAATATACGTCCATTAATTTCTTTGTTAAACAAATTGCATTTTTTTATTATTTAAAACTTTTTTTGTTAATTATACAAAATATTTATTAATTTGATCAATTTTTTATTCTTCTGACAAAAATAATGGTTGAATTACACAAAAAGTTATGATTCATTTAACAAAAAGTATATTAGACGCTTAACGTATATATTGTTTTACTAGACAATTTTTTTCAGTAAAGATATTAATAATAGTATCATAAAAATATCTATCTTTTTGATTATAATTATTAAGTTCTGATTTAAAAAATAAATTCTTAATTCATTACAAGCCAAATTATTTAATACCTTTCATAATTATGTTAAATTCACTGAAACGAATTGAAATAATATTTCATCTTTATTCCGATTCTAAGTCCTGGTTAAAAAAAAACAATTTATAATAACCACTAAGTGTTTTCAATGATTAAAAACCAAGAATAAAAACATTGTAAAAATAAAATTGTACTTATCAATTACATCATATTAAATTTAAGTACATTTTTGTAATTACCATCATATGTTAACTTCATGGTAACTTTAACAGTATACAAATAAAAAATAATTTCGCCTAATTTGTTAGTACCAATAAAATGATAAATAATATATTTACTAAAAAAAAAATTTTCACGTGTTATAAATCTTTATTAAATTCATTTTGTTTTAGACAAAATTTATGTCGATTTTACTTAAAAGTAAAAGTTATAAAATTATAACAAAAAATGACATAAAAAAATAACTAAAAAGTAAAATAAAATCATATTAATACATAATGGTAATGTATCATAAAGTGTATTAGACGCAAGGTAATTCAATTGTGGTGGGGAGAAAATACATTTTGTCGATAAAACGGGTTTTTTTTTAGTACCACGCATTATACCGTTGCAACGATTACTTTTTAACACAATATTCAGGGGCGTATTAACATATTTACATTATATAGTCATCTTAAAATTTGCCGCCCTTCATATGGTTGAGCGATGCCATACCGACCTTTTTTGCATTGTTTTAAAAAAATATATATAATTAATATTTTTAGTACCTAAAAATTTATTTCTTTAGGAACGTGCCTACACTGCCTCTAAGTAAATATGCCCCTGACAATATTAAGATCTAAATAACTATGTCTTTTAAAAAATTTGGAAACAATCATACATAAAACACAGGCAAGTCTAAAATATACATTTCCTATGAATATATTAAAAATTACTTAAACACTTTGTAAATAACTTGAGAATTATTTTCATTTTGTTTATTTGTCTTAAAAGTAATTTAGAAATGTATAAAATAATGACAATTTGTAATGCAATATTTATACTTCTTTATCTTATAACATATCACAAAAAGTGTAAGACCTATAGTCACTTAAAAATAAATGCCATTTATATTTTAAGCATAGACAAGTAAATGAAAATCATAACATATTCTACTTAATAATTATTTTTCTTTAACTAGAAAAAACACTAAATCAAAAATGAAAATAGTAATTAATTTTATAAAAAATAATGGAAAATTAATCTAATACCACTTCTATATTGCTAAAATGTAAGACAAATAAAATAATTAAATTTTTTTAATTTGGGACACAGATAACAATATGTGTCACTTTTTAATAATTTACTCAAAAGTCAATAAAAAAAATTAATACTTTTTCTATAATTTTAATTTATTTTTTCGTCATAAAAGCGAACCCAATAACATGAATCATTATGAAAATTTTAGTTCATTTCAATCTTAACATTTTAGGAATCTACATTTTAAGAGTAGTAGTTTGACAAGTCCCATTATAAAGAATATATAAAATTGATAAAATAGTATCTTAGGAGCTATGAGTTTCAATTTCACCTCCAATATAATTTACTTTAGACTAAACTATTATCATTAAACTATAATTTTTGGGTGGAATGTTTCTGTTGTCACTTTTAAAAAATATTTAGTGATATCTAATAAACATTGTTATAATTTATTACACATTCAAATTAAAATAACGTGATTTTTACTTTTAAAAAATTATAGTCTCAAATTTTGAACTTTATTCAGGTTATAGGTTTCAAAAATATTAAATTGTATAATATTACATAGTTAAGTTACCAAAACAAAATTGTTATTTTTATTTATTTATAATAATAAAAAAAAAAATTTCCACAAACATTTAATAAGTGTTTTATGTATAGTTTTAACTATATGTAATGTATCACTATATAAGTGGTACATTAAACAATGGAAATCTTTTTGTAAAACTTTTGTAAATCAGTAAAGTTTAATTCCTATAATTAATATTTGTAAATAATTTTATTAATGTACAGAATTCTATGTCTGTTTGGATATCTAAATAACATTTGTTGGATGTGTTATAAAAATATTAATAAACATACATTTACCCAATATACTGTATTTTTTTATAGATTGTTTTAAGGTAATATTATTAATATTGACAACATGAAAATTATTACTACATTAAATACAACATTTTCTTTCTTTCTATAATAGAAATTACAGTATTTTTCAATGCTCAACAAGTGATTTATTAACTACACAAAATAAATATAAAATATATTTATTTAATTTTCTGAGGAGGAAAATGCAATTAAAAAAAAAATAAACAGTCCTTGTATGCTCATAAAAATGTTTATAAAAATCAATACAAAAACATAGTTTAACAACAAAATAAGTAGTAGTATATCAATTATTGATAGAATAAATTAAAGTAATAAAATTCATAAAGAAGTGATACACAAATATAAGTTAAAATATTAGAATAAAAAGTGTAAAACATGAGGTTAAGGGTCTACAAATGATATCATAATGTATCTAGTACCATTAATTACTTCTAGTCCTTCATGATAATGAGTCAATCTTCCTGGATGCATTAACATCCAACCTACTTTCATATCAGTCACTTTACATTTGTATCTTAGGAAATGACATCCACCACCCTAATATAATGTTTACTACATTAACATGTTTACTACATAAAAACTACTTTTTTATTAATTTTAAGCAACTTACATGATAATCAATTCCAGGCTTATTTAGAGCAATGTTAATAGTATAAGTTGATGAATCATGATGGGGCCTCAATGATGCTTGACCGTTTGGATTATACTTTACAACAAAATTCATAATAGAACGAGGAGGCTAAATATAGAAAAAAATTAATAAAATAGCTTTACAATTTATTATTATGTAAATCTATTAGTCTTTAAGCAAGACAAATATATATAGAAGAATCAAAATCTAGTAGTACACTCATTTTCTGAAAAACTATTGAAAATTTTTATTTCTATAAAGAGAAAAAATATTTGGTTAAATAAACTCTACATTAATATGTAATTAAATAATTGTTTTCATCAAAAAAAAGGAGTTCCTACATAATAAAATTGAATTTAAAGTTGTATATCCCTGATGAGATAAAAAAAAAAGTATAACATATTATTGTAGTTTTTGAGAAAATTACTTGTTTACTAGATTTTGATCACCTATATATATACAAATTTTTTTTCATCTTAGACACAATTAAAAAAAAAATCAATAAGCAATTATTTGTTAGTTAAACAAGCATGAAATATATCTACAGTTTAAACTTAAACAATTGAAATACTATTAAATAAAATATATTAAAAAGCAGCTTACTCCATCTGAGTAATAGCCAAGAAAAACATGCTCTTGCAATTTGGAAACATACAATTTTAAGAATTTAAGCCAAACATAATGCAACCCAACTTGTTTCATATGAATATCTCTAGTTGGGACAGCTTCATATCCAGTATCCAATCTAGGATCCTATGATTTGTTATTACCATGCAGTATGTTATATTATTTATGTCAACATTAACTTAAAAACTATTAAATAAACATTTATTTATTGTAAATTATATTAAGGGTTAAGTAATAAGCAGAGAACACACACATGCTATGTAACTTTAACTTGATTATTTTTTCAATATTCCCACATACGTCATGATTGTAACCAATAAAGATATTCTGTTGTAATGGAGATACATAAGATTTTAGAAATTCAAGCCAATGATTTTCTAGTCCAACTTGATTCATGTGTATGTCTCTGGTTGGCACCGCTTCATAGCCAGTTTTTAGACGAATATCCTTTAATTTTTTTTATTAAAAATACCTATCAAATTTCTTACATAATATTTATTAACCTTTAGTGACACGTTCAGTATATTGTTTATTATTGTGGCCGCCATATTGTTGCTTGCGTGAGGTAAACTTTTTTCTTTACATTATTCAATTTTTATTGATTACTTTTTGTATACTATTAAATTACAAATTATAAAGTATCTTTTTAACTATATTATTTAAGAACAACAAACAACTTATAAAATATTAAAAATTGTCTGAGGTAAATAATTATCTTGTGCATGTCACTCAAGGTTAAAAAACTTAAACTCACATTATTTGTGCCATCAGACCATTGGCCATAGTTTTCCATAATCTCTATGAATTCTTGACAAAATTGCTCAGAAACAATTGGGAACCAAAATACATCAGGGCATGGCTGTTAAAAGAATTTAAATAAATGTACTACTTAGCTTGATATAATACTTAATAATTACTTCTGCAGGCGATTTTTCAGGATTGAAATTTTCCATATAATCTGGATGAATATAACGTTGTTCCCAGTCATATCGATTATCAAATAATTGATACATCTCTGGATTTTTTAATGAAATGTTAAATGTGATTGAATCAATTAGATGTCCATAAGTGTACCTATTATCCACATACATAAAAACACCCTAAAAGTATTGATTAAGACCATAACAATTAAATCTTTAAATATTTTTTCAAAATAAAACAATTGAATTTCAAGAACCAAGAATTACTTTTTCTCTAAGAGATTTGCAGAACGCCATATCATAATCCATATTATCTTTTTTGTAGGAAGGCCTAGCACTCATGCTTTCCACTATTTTTCCGTTCATTAAATAACAGGTTGATATATATGGTACATTCCACACTCCACTATAATAATAATAGTACCTATTTATTTTTGGCAATAAATACATTCTACGTATCATAGAAAAAGGGGAATTTATTGACTACTACAACAATAGGAAGTGGTATTTAATTGACTATTTAATAGGACCAGCACAATGATAGTTATTACACTGAGTTGATTATTGTTGCAACTAGTTATACATGGGCAATTCAAAAAACAAAAATATACTGAGTAAAATTTCATTTTTAGGTACAAAATAATTTCAAAAATCAAAAAAAAGGTAATAATTTTAAGAAATATTTATAAAATATATATATATTTTTTTTAATATCCAGGAAATGTTTTTAATAAACTCTAAAATTAAAATATTTTTAATGGTGTTGTTCATATCGGTTATAACTGAAGTAAATAGNTAAACTCTAAAATTAAAATATTTTTAATGGTGTTGTTCATATCGGTTATAACTGAAGTAAATAGCAAACGAGGACGAGGAAGAAATAGATCAAAAAATAAAATTCAAATTGGATTACCAATCACAGGCAAATATAGAGACCCAGAATCGGATCAATACTACAATCACAATGATGTAATCATTTTCATTATAAAACTACACATTTATTGTAACCATTTTTTTGGTAAAACTGTTTAATAGGGAGCTAAAATTATCATGGCATCACATTTTGACTATGAATATGTTCTTGGACATAAAATAGTGTTTGTTTGTGTTGCTAGAGGTAACCCAAGACCACAAATCACCTGGTTTAAAGACGGTGTTGAATTATACTACCATTATAACCATCATGTAAATATAAAAATTAACTTTTTTTTTATCATGAAAGTTAAAATTAAAATTTTTTTATTTAATTACATTACATAAATCAAATATTATTATTATCAAATATAATAATATAATATAAATAATATTATTATCAAATTACATATTTCAAAGAATCATAAGTTAGGAATACAAACTATCAAAATGTAAAATTTAAATACTTTAGATTTAAGAAAAATGCTTTTTTATTTTAAGGTACATGAATGGAAATTAGGACAGGATAGAATAAAATCAAAATTAGAAATTGATCCAGGAACACAAATGGATGCTGGAGTTTATGAATGCTCTGCAGATAATAATTACAGCATAGATAGAAGAAGCTTTAAGACAGATTTTAGTATAGCATTTGAATCATAGAATGCATTTTATATATTTTTTTAATATTAAATAATATTCATGAATTGGATTTAGTAGATTAAAAATCGCAGTTATATTGTTTTATGTTAATTTAATTATAAATATAGCATTCTCCTAAAAAAAACGTCTATACACAAAATTGTATGTACAATACTAATATTAATCATGTTAAATTTTAGATTTTATATATATTATATTTATATAATATTTGTATTATAAAATATATTATTAAGATATTTATCATGATTGTATTAATATAATTCATTATTAAATTTATGTGATACATTTATTGTTTTTAAACTTAAGAATATACAAGGAAGTTATTTATCCTTACTCTAAAGAATATAACTATTTAACATAAAAAAATACATAAATATTACTATAAAAATATTTTTTTAAGATAATTAATAACAAAAAATATTAATTTATAGAAATAGTTTAAAAAATCAAAAAATTTTTAAAATAAAAATAGTATTTATCCCTACCTAGTTGACAAAAGCTGATACCAGAAAAGGATTTTAACACATTAAAATGAGTAATTAAGTAGTTAGAGGAAGTTCTGCAGGGAGTTTATTAACCATGCTTAACTTCTCACTTGGTCAGTAATCGGGACCATTCTAAGAATGTCTAATGTTACTAGATGTAGTATTAAAATTTGAAGATTGAAAATACGTGTAAAAATAATAATTTTGCTAAATATACCCAAAATAAAATATTTGTCACACATACATTACAAAATTTAAGTTATTTAAAAAAATATCTCCAAAAAAAAGAACCTACTCTTTCATTAGATAGATTTTTTTTGTCCTTATTTATATTTTATTAAAATTAATAAATATAGTATTACAAAAATATAACTTACGTTTTATTATAGTTAATAATATCCATGTAATCAAATGATCGAGCATAATATCCTTCTTTAGATAAAGCTCCCCAAAAATTAGACCATGCTTTAAAAGGTCTTGTCAACATAGGAGCAATAATTTTTCTAAAAAGTAACAAAAATATGAATAATTTAAAATTTTTAAAATAACCTAATACTTTTCTCTTAGCAAAGCTTTCGTGTTATTCCTATTACTAAACCTCATTTCTCCCCCCAGCTTTCTGCCTTCTTCAATCAATAAAATTGTTGAATACATAATCAAATGCTACTTAGATTGGTTTTTAGAAAAAAATTATCTTCCTAATAACGTTTTTAGGTATAGTAAAAAATTAGGTACTATGGACTGTTTACCATCTTTTATCTATGACTTTTTATAAAAAAAATTTTTTTCTAGTATATTTATGAATATTAAAGATGCTTTTGATTCTGTATATATTCCTATTTTTATCAATTGTTTTTATTTCCTTAATATACCTCCTCCTCTTTTCTTGTGTAATTTTATTTCTTTACTCTTCTTCCATTGGTTCAATATTTATATGTGCACAATACTTTTTTTTCTGGCTGTTTTTCTCTCTTTTATGCAGAACATAATGATGATTTCTTTTATAGTGCTTATTTTTTTAATAACTCTTTCTCTCGTACTATCACTAAACTTAATGACTTATTATCTATCTCTCTAGTAAACTCTCATTCTCTAATTTTACTGTAGTGGTTGACAAGTCAATTTATTATTTTCACAAGGAAAAATATGCCTATATTATCCTACAAGTTTATATAGTCACTTGATTTTAATATTATTGGTATATTTCTTTCTACTTCCATCCAAAGTCTTGAAATTAGAAGATAGGATAAGGAACAAACATTTAAGAAGAAGTATAAGTGTAGCCTTAATCATGGATAAGATGAGAGAAAATAGATTTAGATAGTTTGGTCATATTACGATAGAGGAATTGCAAACTGTAAGAACAGTTATGAAAATGAATATTGAAGGAAGAAGAGGATGAGGAAGACCAAAAAGGAGATGGAGGGATATAATTAAATGCGATATGAGAACAGCTGATGTGTGCGTAGATGATGTTTGAGATCATGTCAAATGGAAGTTTAGTGTAAGGGTGGACGATCTTAAGTAGTAATATTAAAGGCAAGGAAAAAGAAAAAGATTTATACAACTATTGTTATTCATTAACTCTTGAGTCATAATATTTAAAATAAAGACTAATTTAAAAAAAAAAACCTACTTATTTTGCTGAATTAACATCTTTAAAATTTGTGGATTATCCAAGTGTGCTTCACTTTCTACATAAAATATGTAATCACATGATTTACTGGTACATAAAGAACTAAAAAAATTTATATATACACAATTGTTCTTATCACACCATTATGAGTTTTTAAAATTTATACTTACAATGAAAAATGACGAGAATGAATGATTTCATCAGATGTCTTATGGAATACAAAAGTACCATTGTATTGATCTGTTACACTAGAGATAAAATCATCAACTTGTTTTTTATGATAACTCACCTAAGAATAAAGAACAGAATATAAGATTAGTAATAAGATAATTTACATAATTTTTTAAACATGTCTTACAAATACTGAAAAAGATAAAAATATTTTATTTTTAGGATAATCAATTTTTTCAATTTTTTCTAAGAATTCTTCAAAGAATGGTGTTGCTCTGTCAACAAATATAGATATTAACACTACTGGATAGTTTTTCACCTGCAAATATATACATTGTTCATAAAATTAATAAATATTATTCATTTATAAATAAAAATTACTAACATTTAGTATTGAAAGATCTAAATTATTATCTTGACAAGAGTTGCATCCAATTTCAGGAGACCACATATTTGGTATATAGTTTGTAAAGCTGTTTAAAACATTTTTCGATAATCCATTACCATGAACAATAGCTGGATGAGAGTTAAATCTTATATTCTCTAATACATATGACATATTAATGACTCTGAGTTTCACATCATCTAATAAAAATACAATAATTAATAAAATATTTGTTTAGCAATATTAATATAAAAAATTTCAACTCACCTTCAACTGCATAAAGATTTTGAAACAAAAGAGCATGGCTGTCTAATTTAATTTTTAATTTATCTCTAATTTCAGAATTTAGGTATAATTTTGTCAAATGCAATTGATCATCATCTAAATCTTTTATAGTTTTTTCTGACAAAAGTTTATATAGTTGACTAGCATATCCTATTAGACCTAATACAGATCAATATGAGATTTTTATTTAACATAAAATATTATGTTAGGGTCAATCCATGCCATATCATCCAGAAATGGTTGCATGACCACCTAATTTTTTTCTTAAATTTTCAAGATTTATTCTTTATGCTATAATTATTTTATAACAATTTTTTTTTTTTATGACCTTCCCACTTTTATGGCTATTTCAATGTAAGAATGTTAAAAATAGCCAGAACATTAAAAAATATACCAATTATTCAATATTGACTTAATCAAATTAAAATTTTAGATTTAGCATTATTATAACTTAGATTTTACATTAAAAAAAAAATTACGTGAAATTCTAGTTTTAATGACTTTTTAAAAATAGCATATTTTTGTGAAAATTAGCGTTTTTGAGGTCACTTAAAACCATTAAAAAGTTATTATTTTTATACTGATTTTCAAATGTGGTATTGTATAGTTTATAATCTACGTTTCAACTAAATTTCAAATATTTAAAACAATATTCTTGGGATTTAGAGGCCTATAAAGTTAGAAATTTTATAAAAATAGATTTATTCTTTGTTGGGGGACCTAAATTCAAAAAATATTTTTTTTAATTTTTTAGCTATATATCTGCTTAATACATCATAAAAATTTGAAGTTTGAGAAAAAAAGTTTAACATGTAAAATTTAGCATTAGAAAATCAGTAAAAATCCACTTAAAATCAAATAATTTAATGATAGTTTATTGTTGTTTTCAAACTATACTTTTGTAATTGTTCAATATATTATTGTATATGTAATATGTTACGATAATAAGTAATAATAACGATTAAGTCAATATTAAATAATATGTGTATTTTTTAACATTCTGGCTATTTTTAACATTTTTTACATTGAAGTGGGAAGGTCATAAAAATAAAAAAATTGTTTTAATCTAATTATAAAATAAAGAATAAAACCTGAAAATTTAAGAAAAAAATGATGTGGTCGTGCAACCATTTCTGCTAACATTATGCTAAAAAAATCAAACCTCCTGAATTAATAAATTTATAGCCATCAACAGATTCAATTGAAGGATACTGTTCAGCTAGTTTTATGTCAGGCCAACAACTTTTTTCTGCTCCTATTACTATTGAGGCATTAAAATCAATAAACTTATTCAATATTGTCTGGCTATCCGCTAATAACACTACATCATACCTAAAATATTAAAAATTAATTAAATAATTTTAATTTAATTTTAAATATTTTCTAAATTCTTTACGCATCAGTCAATAAAATTGCCAAATTGTTATCATCTTTGTAAGGCTTTAGGGCTTCTAGAAATAAGTTAAGCTTATATCCACCGCCCACACTTTTCATGTTACCACCCAACCATGGTTTATCCAAACCAAGAATCTATATACAATACAGAAACTGTTAAATATATTTGATTTTAAGATTGCATTTATAAAGCAATTAAACTTACTTTTGTTTTGATATTATATAGATTACTGGAGCGAATAAAACGCTTAAGTCCATCAGTTTTTTCAGATGCAACTGTGAGAACAAGCAAATCTAAATAAAACAGACAAATTCATATTAAATTTATAATTATTATATTTTAAATTTAATATATAGTAGAACTTAAGTTCAATGTGCATATATTCTCAGACATTAAACACAATACAATATCATTAATGTATTTTTAAAATAATATAGAATAATTAAAATAATAAATTTTACTTATTTAATTAGCTTCAAGTTTGATAAAGGTACTTAATAAATGTTATAAAAAGTAAAAACATATAATTAATTTATATAATTAAAAAAATATATCTCCAAAATGCTAACATGTTCATTATCATAAATAATTCAATAATACATAAATGGCATTATTGACATTTCCTATTGACCTCAGCCAAGAATAATGATAAAAAAATCAACAGGAAATACACATTAAATACTCTGGAAACATTTAAATAGTTCTTGAATAAAAATTTACAAAAAAAAGTTATTGTTTTTCAGTGAGCAAAATTAAATGTAAATTATGATATAGAGCTTTCTCTTATGAAAAATGTCAGAATAATTCAAAACACCACTATAATTTATTGACAATAAAGTTGTTAAACAAGGGATTAAAATAAATTTGACTCAAAATGAAGATTTATATATATAAGTGTGTTTGTAATCAATATATTAGTTATATTAACTAATATTAAATTACTAATATTTTTTCCTTTAATAATGAGCTATAGAAATTAAATTTGAAAATATTTTCTTATTTTATAAATTTAAGTTAATATTTATTCAGTAAATTATGGTTAACAAACTCTATTTATGCATAAAATTCTAGATTAAAACAATTATATTTGTCGAGTTTAAATATATATATCTATGTAGTATGTTGTATGTAATTTTATATTAAATATGTTTTTTTTTTATTTAAATTCAAGCTTTGTATATAATTTGTTTAAGAAATAGCAGTAATTTGGAAAACCAAACAAAAAATAATTATAGCCAGATAAAGTTTTTGTCTTTACTTCAACTTAAGCACCTATACACTTGTAAGACTTAAATTGAATGATATGAATACTACCTTTTTAATAAACAAATTATTTAAGTCACAAATTTTCTTATATTTCTAAAAGTATATATTTTAAAGAACACATTGCAGTCTTTATAATTTCAGAGGGAAAATAAGATACATAAATTATTTTAATATACTAGTTCTCAATATTATAATAATCTAATATATTAAAAGAGTTCTTTTATATATATTAAAAGATTTATTAATATATAATAAAATATATTAAAAGCAAAGAGTTCTCTATAAAAGTGGTAAATCAAATTGATGGAGTTCAATTTAAGACAATTCTTTTTTAATTTTACTATTTAAATGAAAAAAATATTTAACATTTTCTTTTAACAAATGTATCTCAAAAGTTACGCAGCTTAAAAATTTTTTAAGTGATTATTTTGATAATTAATTAAATTAGTAAAATTTGTATAGAGAAATAAAATTCAGACATCAAAACATAAAGAATGATTTTAGAATAAAATTACTCACTGAGATCATTTGCGGTAAGGCCACACACGAAATTCGATGCCAATAATGCAGAAAGCACAAAAAAAAAAGTCAATAATCTCATTTTGATTTTCAAAAATTCATCTACACATTTTAATATTGTTCACTAAAGTCTAGTGATCAGTATACACTCAATGTAACGTTAATTGAATTAACATCAATAGACCACACGTTGTACGAGATGGAAACAAAAGCTAAAATCCGCCGCCAACGAATTTGCGATAGAAATACTAAGTAACATGATACATATAACAGTTGCGTATGATAAGAACCAAACACAAAACCAAAATAAGATTACATTTACCAAGTAACGCTCCCTACCGAAAAGCCTATACTGTATAGTTACAGTCTGTATATTATACAGTATCACGGACAATAAATTCGTAAGTCCACAGAATTATAGAAAAATACAGCTAATTTGCTTAAAAATAGTTAAGTATTAATGCTTTTCTAAATACGTAATTAAAATGAACCAACTCTTGCACTTATTTTTTTTCAGCAAATATTATTTAATTTTGTTTAATAATTAATATTAATTTATTAATTACATTTTATAAATCATTAATTAATGATTATAGTTATCAAATCATTTAATAATTATAGTGAAGAATTTTTTGTGAGCTAAAATAATAAAATAAAATATGAAGTGAAAAATTATATTATACCTAAACATTGGAGGAGAGTGGCCAACTAAATTTCTCCTCTCTTCTCTGCTATAGAACTAAACTTTCTTTGTTTTACTAAATAATCACTAAAAAAAAAAACTAAAAAATATAAAAGTGCAACCTAAAATTTTTTTGGCCTTAACTAAAAAAAATGTCTTATATCGGCTATAATTATAAATGTATTCCTTTTACTATAATTCAGCATAAATGTAATAATTTGATGTATAATAGTTTTAAATTTTATATTTTTTATTTAGTAATTTTACTATTAAAAATTAAATTAATTTTTGAAAAATTAATCATTATAGTAATTAAAAGACGAAAATATTTTTTGCTGTTTTAGACAATTTCGTCTAAAATGAAAGCTTTTAATTTATTTTAAGTTGACATCAATTTAAAAAGTTTAATAAAAATATTAAACTATATGTTTATTATTAGCTTCGATGCGAAACTGAGAAGCTATTAATTTTACATTGATGTGTTTTTTTTTTTATTTCTATTACTTTTTTTTTTGTGTCTGTTACCACTTTTTCTCAGCTCTCACCGAACCGATTTCTATCAACGATACGTCAAAAGATCACAAATCGTATCTAGTCGAAAATATTACCCTCAAAAATTTAAAAAGTTTCCCTCATTCTTTGTAAATGAAGGAAATCCCTAAAAATATTACAATTTTTATTAATAAATAAATTTTGACATTTTTTCAATTTTTTTTACTTAAAAATTTTCATATGATATCTTTAATGTATGTATTATATGTTAAAAGACTGTTAATAAAATAAAATAAACATTTAGTCTATAAATGACTAACAATAAATATTTATAAGCAATTTAAATGTAAACGTAAAATTAATCACAATAATTTAATTTAAGGTTTGTCATCAATAATGATTCTTTAGAAATTGAATTTTAACGAAATTGTGGAAAAATTATATATGATAAAGCGATTTTTGATTTTTTTGATAAATGTGAAATGGCGTTTATTTTTGTTGACTACTAAAAAATCAGCTACTAAAAGGACGGTCTTGTCGCCCTCAAATAAAATTTATGCTATCGACTCATATTTGTAACAAGTATGTTTTCTGATGTTACAAAAAAAAAACTCCATGCAAATTTCTGACAGATTTCCGATCAATAAATATTTTCATAATATTTACGTGTAAAAATCATAGAGTAACTCTATGGTAAAAATAAACACGGTAAAATTAAAATTTAAGTCCTATCATCTGTCAATAATGTTGTTTTTATAAATTCAGATAAGTGACTACTAAATGGTAACCCAGTGTTTCGATAACAAAGTAAAAAATAACTGGTTTTGAACATGATCGAGGGAGTAGTTGAAGAGTGAGGGCAATCGGTTACCGCCGCTTAACAGGATATTCGTCACGTTATAAATGCCACTACGGATAGATAAAAATTCAATTTTTTTCGTGCGAGAAAATTTTTATCAAGTTGTTTTGTCACCAAATCTTTGATTTTTCACAGATAATTTTCTTCTTTGCAGTTTGGTAAAAGTTTTGAAACACTAGCATCAATATAGATCAAATAAAATTGTCCCGCACAAAATATGCATAAAATCGTATTATTCTATATATGACGCCATCTTAAATTAAAGTTAAGATAAATGTTATATCATAGCATTTTTTTTTTAAAATTTTTGATTCAATTTTTTTTTTTTGCGTATATTTACTTTTTCCATGTGTTTTTTAAGACATATCAGATTTTTTTAAACCTAAATATTATTAGTATTGTGTTTCCTTTAGTTTGAATAAATAATATAATTATATTACATATTTTAATTTAATCGCTTATTAATTATTAAAATTATCTGATATTTGGCATACTTATATAAAATTAAAATTAGGCTTATTAAAAATTTTAGGGAAAGCAATTTTAATTTTTAGATACGTTAGGAACAGATTGGTTAATAGCCAAAATTGAGTCCTAAGTTAATAAATCAAAAGGTTTAAAAACAAAAAAATACTTTTGAACATTTTTTTTAATGCAGTAAAATGATAATAAAAATGTTGATGGTTTTATTTAATAAAATTATTTGTTAAATATTTCAATTAATTATAAAATGGCCAAAAAAAATATCTTGGACTAGCTTTATAAAATAAAAAATAGACTAAATATTATAAAACAAATTGAAATTTTCATAAAAAAATTGACTAATTTGATTAAAGATAAAACAATTATTTACAGCAAAAATTAAAACCAATATATTATAGGATACCAAACATTTATTTTAGTATAATTTAGAATTGAAGTTAAAAGATAATAATAATAGTAAAATTGTCTACCATGAACTATCAAATTTATTGATTTTTTTATGAGGATTAGTTATCTTATGTAGATTGCTTTTCAACTATAATTGAATTAATGTAAATTAAAACATATATTTAATTTAAAATAAAATATAAAAAGAAAAATTCAAACTCCCATCATACATAACAACACTTTATGCTAAAAAATAACAAAATAGAGAGAATATAATATTATAGAAAAAGAAATACTTAAAATGTGAAACAAATTGTTGTAATGTCCATAAACTCTTATATTTTAATTATTTTAAATAATATGCAACCAATATTGTACATATAAATTATTCAAAAAATGTAACCTTTATATTTATAAGAAATGTATAGTCTATACTTTTATTTCATTCAATTACATAAGTATTTTAACAGATCCTGACTATTCGTAAGTTTAGTCCAGGTCTGTTATTGATGAACCCTCCTATCGTGTGGATAGGAGGGTTCATCAATAACAGACAGAGACAGAGACAATTTACTTTCTTTAGTAGTAACTCAATACCAAATAGTCTCGTTTATTTTATTGGATAATACTAGTTAAAGAAACAGCGGTGACTACTCACCTACACCTATATAACAACTAACTGTACTCTTCTTTTTGAGTTACTACAAAATATTGACTAAACCGATTATATAATGAACAGCTTATATTTTATTAATACAATTTATTTATAATACTAATATGCGATCAATAACAAATAGAAAAATAACCAACTGGACGGTCAATTAAATGCAATAATTTTAGTATATTTGAGCGACAAATTCAAACAACTGTTTTCAGCAGATGGAACAGATATGTTAAAATGGGCGAAAAATTTATTGATAATTTTCAATTCCATTGACAGATATTTGGGAAATTTTACACAAAGTAGTAAGAACGACAACTTTAAATAAAAGTAAGTTAATAAGCAAACTGACAACATAGTATTGGTAACCGTCAAAAACGATTTTAACGCTCTGTCCTTAGTAACTATACCGACTTATGAAAGTAATGTTGCCAGTTTGTTGGGTAAGATAAAGGCCTCTTTACCATTTGGCTGTTGAGTTACGTTGTCTCGTGCAGTATAATGACTATTATAACGCTTTTATTTTGTTCATCCAAATATTTAAATATGTCACTCTTACTCGATTGACTTTAGTATTTATTTTCTCAAATATCTGTCCATCGAATTTTAAACAATCAATGAATTTGTTGTGCAATTTGTCGTGTAGTTATCGATTTATTGCCCTAATATATTTGTGATCGGGTAAGACTATAATTATCATTAGACATTTCTCGGGCGAGCATTTCCATCTGCATAAATATAAAAATACTAATCATTTCCTATGTAGTGGTCCAAAAGTTACTATCGACCAATCTACTTTTAAATTTGACCATTTTCTATTTTATAATTAACTTAAAAATGTATGATGCCATTAAAAAAATAAAGTTGGTATCTTTAAGGGATAAAGGACAAACATAAAAAGTACTCAACAAAGCCAAATAAAAATACTGCCAAAATTATTAATATTGTTAGAACATTAGGAGAAACTTAGTAGTAAATGATAAATCAATCACTCTGTAACTTTATTTAAATAACATATTTAATTTTTTTTTTTTGTATTATATCAAACAATTTTCAATCAATAGTTTTATATATTTATGAAGTTCACTATTTAAAAACACCTGTCCATCGAATTAGAAATAATCAATGAATTTGTCGCCAATTTATTGTTTAGTTTTCAATTTATAACTCTGTTCAATTTATGCTCTATTATAGTGTATTAGTGATCAGATTTTATCATTAATTATTTTCGGTCGCATACTTCTACTCATCTAAGTATAAAAATGTTAATAAGTACAGTTCCAAATATTGTTATCGATTAATCATTTACTTAATTAAACACTTATATATTTTATAAACTATTTAAAAATTTTAATTATTAATATTATAAGAGGTCTATAAAATTTTTAACCACTTTAAAATTAATATTACATTAATTATCAAAGCCAAAAAATATTTTCACGATTATTATTATTTTAATGGAAATTTAGTGGTCAATGATAAATCAATCATTCTGTAAAATTATTTAAATAACAAATTTACATTTTTTTCTAATATTTCAAACAATTTTTAATCGACAGTTTTAAATATTTATGACGTTTTTTTACTTAAAAAGTTATTATTATTTTTTAAGTTATAATTTTCACATGATTAAAATGCATAAACAATCTTAGCCCCCTGCAAATTTAATGTGCTTTTACAGAGTCGTAAATACTATTTGGAGAGGAAGTAAGGGGAAAAATATAATCCCCATTTCAATATTTTGTTATTTTGTTATTTAAACCCCTTTAAAAAATTTTTCATGTAATCGTTAACATAATGTCTAATTTATTTTGGGGATGAGTGGCTTAGCTCCTTAAGTTGCATCTATGATTCGCGAAGATCGTCAAAATGTTAAAGAAGTTGAATTTTTTTTCGATTGACATCTGATGATCCCAAACATATGTGCTACGTGGCATGTTTCCTTAATACCCTCCGTGTAGTCCATCTTGTATACAGGGCAGTTTTTAGAGGTTGCTCGGAGAGCTAATAGGCTCCCATGACTTTATAGAGGTGAATTTTAATAGTAAAGAGCGAAACCTACAAAATTTGTATGTTAGGTTTAATATTTAATATTGTCAACATACGGTCGAGTATCCAAGTGTATCGTAAGACGATTTTATGTTAGCTAAGATGTGCTCCTATAACTGATTGATTTTGATTAATACTGAATTTGTCATCTTATTCAGTCTTATCCTGCATAAAAAATATTTAAAGGAGGCCAACTATTAATATAAAAAAAATAATAATTTTTTTTTAATAATACTTTTATATATTATTTCAACTTTTGGGGTCTTTTCTTAAAAGAATAAAATATTTAATTAAATAAACATTACAACAATAATATTATTTCTTTTATGAATACTAAAAATTCTCATTAGATTCCAAGAACACGAACGTTTTATTCTTAATCGATAATTATGTATTATAGTTGAGCAAATATAATATTTGTATTGTTTGTATCACAAATTTAAATAAAAAAAAAAATTAATTATGCCATGCGAGTACTAAATATATATATATATATAGAAATAATAAAATAATACATAATAACACTGAGGTTATTATAGTTCATGCGATTTGTGGCGGTTGCACTATCATCCGCTAGTCTTGTTCGGCTTATCACATTTAAAATGAATAAATCTGACCCCACCAACCAAGCGTGTTTTAATGTATAAATATATATATTTAGTCATTACCGTTATATTATATGTTGTTAATCATTACCGAGTAATGGAACAAATACGTTTGGGGATTAGTTGGACAATCGCTGTAATTCTTAGAAATAAAAAGTTAACGAATTAACAATAAAATTACATATATAATTATATCTGCTGTTGACTCAACAGCGCTCCGAAACATTGTAGATCTCAATCCCCACCTAGTACGGATATACAAATAGAGGTCACAAAATAAAGTAGAGGAGAAATATTGGTAACAAAAAGTCGCACGTTTGATCATGCGACCGCCTCAAAAATTATGTACTTTTTTCGATTTTTATAGTCCTAATACAACACCAAAAAGCACAATTTCAGAATTAAAATTTTAAATTGATTGAACGTTAGGTTTGGTTCGGTCAGGTTTGGAAGCTCCCTAATGCGGTTTGAAATTCAACAAAGTATAAATTTTCAGATTTTTGTTATTTTTCTGTACCGCAGCCAGTAATCTTACATTACTTGATTTTCTTTTTTTATCTCACGATTACTGGAGTTCTATCGTAATTAGAAAAAAATTTCAAGATATTTAATTTGTAAACCGTTTGATTTTCTATTCAACAGCAAATTTCTTTTACAAAACAATTTTGTTTATTAAAATAATGCTCAGGTAAGTTAAAGATTTTTCTGATATTGCTCCAATACACGTAAAATATTCATGGTTCTATCAACGATTATTCATTTTCTGTTGTACTTTGAAAGAAACAAGAGATCAAATAAAAAAATACATTTTTTTCATGGAATCAAACTTAATTATACGTGTAAGGATATAGTTTGGGTTTTTACATACACATATATCAGTTTTTACATACAGTATAAATCTCTTAAATAAAAATTACTAAAAAATGTTTAAATATGTTATTTGAATAGCTTTACATGAATGATTTATAATTGCTCATTAAATTTTTTCTGAGATGATAGCTTTGAAAATATTTTTTTTGGCTTTAATAAATACTATCTTTTGATTTAAATAAGGTTGAATACTATTTAGTACCATCCCTAATCTCTTATAAGGATATCAAGTTTATTTTTTTAATAATAATTTATATATTTAATAAGTTTATACAATAGAAAATTATCTAATTAATATAATGTCTGGTTAATAACAACTATTGGACCAGTATATCTGAAGTTATTAAGATTTTTGTATCTTGATAAAAAGAGGAGCGCGTCAAAGAAATGTCTAATAATAAAAATAGTCATAACCGATCAGATATTTGAGAAAATTAATATTGAATTCAATCGAGCAAAGTAGTAAGAGCGACATATTCAAACAACGAGTGAACAATTTTTAAGTGTCATAAATTTATAGTACAGTGAATAATAATAAATTTATGAGTAATCTGGCATCGTTGTATTAATGAGTCTACTGGCTTATTAATGATAAGTCTGTCTAGTTAAAAGGAACAAAGCGTTGAAAACATTCTTAACGCTTATTATTACAACGTTGCCAGTTTGTTTATGAACTTATCTTTTATTTGAATTGTTGTTCTTATTACTTGGCTCGATGACATCAGTATTCGTTTTCGCAAATATGTCCAAATCGAATAGAAAATAATCAATGAATTTCTGATCATTTTAAAAATATTTCTTTTATCTGCTGAAAACGATTATTTGAATTTGTCGTTCTAATGACGTTCAGTTAACTAAAATTATTGCTATTAATAGACCTTCGAGGCTGTTTTATTTTACTATTTGTTATTTATCGCTCCATTGTAAATATATTGAATTTATCATATTTCTGCTGTACATTATGTCGGTTCAGTCAATGTTCGGCACACATTATTAAAACACCATTTTTATTAAATTATTGTTGTTATTCTTTTATGTTCTATTTTTAGCTGAAATTTTTATTACGTTCGTGTGGCAATTTCAAACTTTTACTTTATTTTTTAATATGAGACTGAATATATGTTGTAATTTACATTAATTTAATTATAGTTACATATCAATCTGCATAAGACAATCAATCCTGACAATAAAAATCAATTTTGTGGTATATAATTTTACTATTATTATTGTCTTTTAACTTTATAAATAAATTGAAATTGAAATGAATAGATGGTAACCTTTAATATAATGATTTTAAATATTGTTATAAATAATTGTCTGCTATTTTTAATAAAATTGGTCAATTTTGTATTATTTAATCATAATTTTTCTTTACTTTAATTATAAATGGAAAATGAAAAATACCTATTTGTTTTAATAATATTTTGTGTACTCATTTATTTTCTAAAGCTTGTTCTGGAAAAATTGTTGAATATTTTATAATCAATTGCAAACTTCACAAATATTTTTTATAAATTATCAATATTTTTATAATCATTATATTATACTCAGTAAAATAATTCTGAGGTACTTATACTTTTTTAAACAAAAATTAAGTTTCAAAAAGGTATTATTTATGACTCAATGACATTTTGTATTTGTTGCATTTCAAAAAAATAATTTTTATGTATGATATATATTATAAATTATTATTAATTTAAACAAATTAAACAATTTTTATAGATAAAATAATTATACTGTACAGAATAAATTTTAGACAAAATAAAAATTACAAAAATAATTTAGGCATAGCAGAATTTATTAATTTTTTTTTTTGTGTTTTTTGATATCTATATTTTGATAATTCTTGCTCATCAAACTCACTTTTTAATAACTTTATTGGTTATTTATTAAAAAAACGATAAGCACATATTTTTTGATACATATATCCATATTATTTATTTTTATGAATAATTTGACTTGTTATTATAAAGTAATAAATATCTCAAAGGAATCGATCAATTGCCTATATAAAATTAAAGAAAAAATACTGATATCAAATTTGAATTTAGCAATCGCTAAAACATATAAATCAATACATCACTAAAACAATATTTAAATACAAAAATCTCCTAGCACCCACAAATTTCATTAAATGTGTTATCTAACATCAATATTGGAATTGATGACTTAGAAGACATCATTTGGTACATTAATAACATTTAAAACAGACAATATTTTATTATATTTATTATTTTTGACCGCATATTTGAATATTATAACACTGTATAAGCGTTTGCAATAGTATCAACATGCTTAAAATTTAGTTCTTCCATGGTTAAGTACATAAATGTATTAAATTATTTTTAAACATTACTGGATATTTATTTTTAATTTTATGTCGTTATTAGGGTTAATGTTAACTATTTTATAATTATTTTTTGAATAAAATTAATGGTGTGTTTCACCATTGCAATATAATAATAATTATTATATTATTATTAGTATGGTAAATAATTATTGTTTTCTATATAGTATATCAATGGTAAATACGCCGATTACATTTTTTTTAATTTATCTATTTCTTATCTATGGTAGTTTTTGATAACTAAATATGCATCTATGAAATTTTAATGGTATATCTACATACTTAGTGTATTCGTATAAAGTAATAAAATATAATAATTTCAATAAAAAAAACAAACCTACGTTTTTCTTATGTTTTTGTGGGATTGTTTGCATTTTATTCATTTATTTAAACCATTTATTTTCTTATTTCACTATTTATTGTTTCAATTTGGTAATATGCTTCTAATGTAGAATGTATTTTATATACATTATTTTTTATACTTTTATTTTGGGAAATAAAAGTATGTAAAACTGATCAATAATAAAATAATATAGTTTCAATTTTAATTCTATTTTCTTGTTTATTATTATTTATTATCAAATAAACTTTTATTGTATATTGTTTATTGTTTATGTTTATTTTACACTGATATTTGTGTTCATTTTTATTGCTTTGATGTATTACTATTAATAAAATGAATTCTGCGTGTTTCTAAAATAAATAATTTTACTGAAAGGGTTCATAGGTATAAGTAGTCATTAAAAATAAAAAATATGTATAGTTTTTCATAATTATTTAAAACTTGGACAGACAGCCATTTTTTTTTTTTTTTGTTAATGTGTATTTAAGATAAATAAAATTACTAACCTGATAACAAATTGTTAAATAATATGAAAAACCTTAATTGGGTGATCATATTTTATGCAAATTAATAATAAAAATACAACAATGTCTTTTACTATAATAATAATAAAATACTAAAACGACAATAAATAATGAGATTCGAGAAATGTTTAAGTACTAAAATAGTTAATTATAACTTGACAGCATTAAAACAAATCAGACGTTTTTTTCATAACCACTTAAAGGATGGAAAGCGTGACTGTAGTTATGATGAAACAATAAAGCGGCAATGGTTTTCGTTGAAGCATACTACATATTATTAGTAATTTCATGTAATTGTATTTTCATTATACAATTTTGATTTAAAATTATTTCACTTAACTACAATTTATGTGTAAAATAATCTCTCTCAATAGGTGGTTGACGTGTAATGATGGGAAATCACGAATAGATTTTCTATTTTTAACAAATAAAAATATTGATTATCAATTTGCTTCTTATGTTATTTTAAACCCAAACTCTAAGATTTGTATCCCAAGAGCTAGATACCACTGACATACCGTTGGGTGAAACAGTTAAAGAAGTCACTCTATTTTCATGGCCTGCCAATGAACCTGTTCAAATATCAATAAAACAAAAATAATTCACTCAACTTTTATGATTAAAAATAATAATAATGTTTTATTGATAATTACAAACCATTGTGTTGAACTTTCATCGTATCCCAGATATGAATGGAATTGTCATCACTTCCAGCAAATAAGAATCTACCGGAAACCGATAAACCACAGGAAGTGAATCCTGATGTAGTATTTGGTGGTTTATACATAGCAATTTGTTGATCCGATCTTATATCATACAAACGAGCCGATTTATCTTCGGAAGCTGTTGCAAATCCATATCCGCTATTATGGTACTGTAAACGAAATTTATGAAATCGTGAGTCAATAAACAAACCATGAATTTTATTGCATGTAGCTCTTGTATGGGTGGGTTTTTAAGGAAAAGTGTAGAATTAGTCCACTTCTCCACTACAACCACTTTAATTATTATAGTCAATAATTTTGTACATTTCTTTACCAAACTACACACTTATATAAGTTTAAGATCTCTTTTTCATAATATTTTGTGGTAAGTAGTAAGTTAATTAGTTTGTTTAAAACTCTCTTATCCCTAATTTATTTAGAGTTCTAACTTAAAAGGATTATAATTCAAAGTAATAACAATAATTATTATTTGTGTAAGTTAATTTAAGCAAATTACTTACACAGACAGAATTGACATCAGCCTCGTGCCCAAAAAACATTTGCTTGCATTTTGGGTTTCTAAGATCCCACAGCTTACATGTTTTGTCTACACTTCCTGTTATAAAAGTATTTAGATCAGGTGCTAGTGACAATGAGACTACATCTCCACAATGAGCAGCACCTACTTCATTAGTTCTTTTACCAACTTCCACGTCCCAAGTGCAACTTAAAAATTAAATAAACTTATCGTATACATTTATTTACTTTAAAATATATACAAATAAGTTAATATTCAGTTATAAAATAAGTAATAACCTATAAATTGAATATAATTGACAATTATATTATTCTACGACGACTACTATAATAATTTCGACAAATAATACTATTAATAAATTATTAATAATAATTAATTATAATAAAAGTTATTTTTTAATGGGGTTTTTAAAATAAAATTACAGATTCAGTTAATTATTTTAATAATCAATTAAATAAAAGTAACAACTGATAAGGAAAAATTTAATATTTTCTCGCTAGGAAATACATGGACTGAAAATTTGAAATGCTCTTATTATTTTCAGAAATAATCAATTAAAAACCATTCTACCCTACCCATTTTTGTAGGCAACAGCCCTTTGGAGGGAAAAACACTCTATGAATCATTTAATTCAAAAGAATTTTATGCTTGTTTGAGAGAAATTTTACATTTTCATATCTCCTGAACCAGTTATCAACGTTTTGTCATCGACAAATCGGCACGACGAAAGAAATCCTTCATAGCCCAAAAGTTCGCGTACCATTTTTGCACTTCCATTGGTGTCTCGATTGTTCAGATCGTATATGGTACACATGTTATCCATTCCCCCACATGCTGCCATAAAAAAAAAAATGTATATATAATATTAATATTAGACATTTTACCGATAAAATTAAGTTTTTTAATTAGCAGTGAGAAAAATAAAAAAAATGATTACGAATGAATTTTAATAAGTGATAGGTACTTTTGAATAACTTAACTAAAGAATAACATTTACCAGTTTTAAATTAACTATTGAGTCTTTTTTACATAGTTGAATATTATATTCAACATAAAAAATATCAATCAGTAGTTTGAAAATACTTAACATTATTTAAATGAGATAAATTATTATTCAATTTAGGTGGAAACCCATTTAATTTCATATAATATAATTTAATTAATTAATTTTCATTTTTATTATTTTTTATTTTAAAACTATGAGAAATGTAAAAATACTAATTTAATGTTACCAGCTTCAAGAAAATCAATAAAATATTTTCATAAAATGTAAAGGATTTGCAATAAAAAAAAAATTGTTTGTATTCCGAAAAAAATTAGATATACAGTTATGTGATGAAATATATTCTTTTTACAAATTTCTAGAGATAAATAAAAAAAAAAACTATAAAACTGCCAAAATAAAATTTGAAAAAAGGCAAGTACAGTTTTCATGCTTTAAATTGCGTTGAAAAACTAAATTTATATTGACTAGACTGCTCATATTAGCAGCATAGTTGTGTCTATAAATAGAGATCCAAATTATTTAAATAATTTAAGAGAAGCTAACCAACAAAATTTCCAGTTGGTGCAAAAGCAACGGACATGACCCACGCGGAACGTAATGGTATAACTTGCACTTTGTTTCCAGTCCACGTGTCCCATATAATCAGTTTGCCGTCCAATGACCCAGAAACTGCATGTCTATACGATGGAAAATCAGTTATGTACTAGTAATGATTTTAATACGGTAATGTAATGATAACAATAATTATATGTTTCACATAATAAATTAGAAACCATTTTTCATCATGTATTATAAAATATATAATTACCTGCTGTCACCACTATAATGTACAGAGTTCACTTTATTAATATGTCCCTTGAGCATTTTTTTGGTAACTAGTTTACATTTAGGTGGATCAGCTATGTCATTACACATTTCCTCGATTGTTTTGTCTTGTTTGTTTTTTTGATCTTGCTGAGAACATTTTTATATTATAATAAATATAATTTTCAATTTTTTTTTTTTGAAAAGGTAGTTTTTAATTCAGTTTATGAGACTGAGTTTTTTTATTAGTTCATTGAAGTAAACGCGACATCTGAGTTGTGGATTTTGAAGAATTTATTATTTCCAACTTTAATCATAAATTTAGAGCCGTATTTAAGAGAGGTGTAAGGAAACCATTACTTCGGGTAATAAATTTTAAAGAACATATCATATAAGTAAATAACTTTTTTTAAATCTTTAAAAATACAATTATTTGAAAATTAAAAATTTTAGAACATAAAGTGTTTTTGACCCTTATATCAAAAAAAAAAAATTGTATTTATTAAAAAAAGCCTTTTTGATGGACAATATTAAATTTAATCTTCCAAAATTTTTATCTATTTGCGCCAATGTATTCAAAATATAATGATTAGACACAATGTTTTCTGAGGAAGAGTTAGGATTAACACAATTTCATAAGTAGAAATACATTTTTATTTTTTAGTTCTGTTGTGGAATAATCTATATAGCCATGTTAATATTTTTAATTATATTATATAATACGATTTACAAAGTATTTTTCACTAGATTGTATTAATATCACTATTTTTAGTAATGCGAATTGTATTATATTCATTTTATTATTTTTAACAATGAAAAAAAAAATTAATTTATGAAAGTATTTTTCCTATCCCTCACTCTTGTAATTGTGGTGCATTGTGTCCATTGTCCAAATCAATCGTGTTTAATATTTATTAATTCTTCTAAGACACCAAGGGATTGCTAAGGAAGGAGAAGGGTATAATGGAGGCTTTAAGGCACCAAAAAAATATGAACATATTTTTTAGCTTACATGCGAAGCTAATACCTTATTAATGGTACTATGATGTGTTATTTTTGTCTGTTTTTCTGTCACTTTTTCTCATCTCTCACCGAACCGATTTCTTTTAACCATACGTTGAAATATTATAAATCGTATTTAGTTGAAGACTATGCACTCAAAAATTGAAAAAATTTTCCTCGTTCCCTGTAAATCGAGAAAATCCCTAAAAAATTTACAATTTTTAAAATCAGTAAATGTAGACATTTTTTTCTTTTAAAACTGCCATAACTTTTTGAAAAATGAACGAATTAAAATATTAGCTTCGATGCTAAGCTGAGAAGGTATTAATTTTACTATGATGTGTTTTAGCTTCGATTCGAAGCTGAGAAGGTATTGGTTTTACTATGATGTGTTTTTTTTATTTTTTTTGTATCTGTTGCCACTTTTTCTCAGCTCTCACTGGACCGATTTCTTTCAACAATACGTCAAAAGATCACAAATCGTATCTAATTGAAGACATTGCCCTTAAAAATTGAAAAAATTTTCCTCGTTCACCGCAAATGGGGAAAATATCCAAAAAATTTAAAAATCGCTAAATTTTGTCATTTTTTTCACTATTTTTTCTTAAAACTTCCATAACTTTTTCAAATATTAACAAATAAAAATAATATTTTTTTATATTGAAACCTTAGGTAATTTCCTTTCGTTTGATATCATTTTTTTTTGAAAATCTAACACTTAACCTGCTCATTGGGGGGGATTTAAAATATCAACTTTTTTACAAAAACTAACTTTTTCAACTTAATTTTTGGAAATGTTCTGGAAATACTGCGTCCTTTAAACATATATCAAATTAAAGCTTATTTTATGTACTACAAAATGAAAAAAAAAAATTTGTCCCGACACTTTTTTTTCTGCATGCAAACGGCTGCCGTAGTTAAAAAAAGGCTATTTTTGTGTTCAAATTTTCGATTTTAAATTTTCAACTTAAAAATGCTATAACTTTTCGGAAAATGTAATTATTAGCACAAATTTTTTTTCTAAATACATTATAAGTACATCTTTCATTTGACATACTTTTTATTAAAATTGGACAATTTCCCCATATATAGGGGGCGTTCAAAACTTGAAACATTGTATAAAAAATAGAACTTTTTCAACTTAATTTTTGAAAGTGTTCCGGAAAAACTGCGTCCTTTAAACATATATAAAATTAAAGCTTATTTTATGTACTATAAAATAAAAAAAAAAAAATTGTCCCGACAACCTATCTTTTATGCGCAAATGGCTACCGTATTCAAAAATATGCTATTTTTCTATTAAAATTCTAGGTTTTGTATTTTATTTTATTTTAAAATATCTTATTAGGAGAATATATTGACTTTCATGAATATTATATAATTTAATTGACATAGAATAAAGTTCATAAGACATAAGAAATTAAACTTATTAAATTTTTTTTACTTTTTTAAAGTTGAAAATGTAATTTTTAAATTTGAGTTAAATTAATAGCAAATTTTTTAGCTTCGATACAAATTTTTTATATGTAAATACTAATTTTTAATAATATTAAAAATTAGAAGTGCTAGAAAAAGTCTAATTGCAGATATGAAAACAACGCAAAAGTTGATTTAGAATGGTATATTTTTGTTACTGATGAAAGTTCCTTGTAGTTCAGTGCATTTATTTATAGTAACAGTTTTTATTGAAATTTATTGTATCAAGCCCTTTAAATTTTTATACACGTAAAAATAAAGCAAAATACAACTTCTTTATTATTTTTATAATTTCTCCGTTTAAATTACAATATTAAATTATTGAATATCAATTTCATACTAAATTTAATAATTATAATTAGTATTTATTCATATGTTATATTTTAAAATCAAAGAACTACTAAATAGGATATAATCAAAGAAATAAGAGTTGATGTTGCTTTTGTAATAATCCACCAATTTCTCTAAATGAAACACTATCTACAGATTTGCATCGAAGCGTTTCTTATGATAGTGATTTTAATCACTGTCAAATATCATCTATACTTGTCCCATCTATGCCTTGTCTACACTGTGCCTCGACCCCACTGTGCTACCGTTTTTTTTTTTATATTTAAAGCTTAGGTAATTCCCTTTCATTAGATATAATTTATTTAAAAATCTGACTTGTTACCTACCCACAGGGGGATTCAAAATAATAAATTTTTCAACTTAACCTTTGAAAATGTTCTGGTAATATTGCGTTTTTTAAACATATGTTAAATTAAAGCTTATGTACGTACTATAAGTTAAAAAAATATTGTTCCGACAACCCATCTTCTATGTGCAAATGCAGTCGAAGTTGAACAAAATATAGGAGTTAATTTTGCTTTTGGAATAATCTACCAATTTTTTAAAATTAAACACTATCTACAGATTTACATCGAAGCGTTTCTTATGATAATGATTTAAATACCGACAGATATCATCTATACTTGTTTCAACTATACCACGACCCTACTGTGCTACCGTTTTTTAAAGATATATTTTATTTTAAAATAAATTAAATAGCAACTTTGATGACAATTAATATTGTCTCTTTAATTGATTTATGATTTCAGTCATTTAAAAAAAATATTTCAAAATAAGCTCTACATCTGAATATTTGAATTTATTTTAAAATTACTAAGTTTTTAAATTCGTATATACAAGCACTCATTAAAAATCAATACAGTAAATTGTATTAAGTGTATGAAGCCTTACATAGAATTATTTGACTTTAGCATGGAAGGACAAAAACTCGTAATTTTGAAATATTAAAATATGGAAACCGACTTGTATTATTAATTTAATTAAATAAATAAATTAACTTCATTTTCAAGTAATCAAGTTTCTATAGAACAAATTTTATATTCAAAATTTATATGCCTTGGATTTTAATAAAATATTCAAAAAAAATTTAATTCTTCTAGCTTTTAAAAAGTAAAGAATGTTTTCTATATTTTTAAATATATAATGTAGAAATCATTTTATTGTAATAAAAATAAATTGTTAAAAATCTTTTAAGATTAAAAAGTTGCATGAATATAGCAATAGAATTGTATGAGTCGTTGAATATTTGTTATAATTATTTATTATTTTAAACATATTTTTAAAGAAATCTCCACCAATTATGCAAACCTTTTGTATAATGTTATTTGCGAAATAAATAATTAATAATAATAGTAATAATATTAGAAAAATATTGGGGCATAGTAATTATTATTCTACTATGGATGTAGTTTATTTTGAAATAGAGTGAATATAGAATCGTTAAAACATTTTCTAGCCCTAATTTTTTTTTTATTTATTTCTCTAGTATTTCTATTCTTTGTTATAAATTGTTTTCATATAATTTATCTATAATATATTCTATAATTTGAATAAATTATTTTAATAACTGTTTTAATTTCATAAATTTTTTAAAATATTATTTTATCACTTTTTACAAAAAAATATAAAGAAAAGAGTTTCTAAAAATATATCTTATAAATATAGAAGAAATTGGTAAGTTTTGAGTATTATAGTTTAGATATTTAACCAAATGTTGTTATTTTATATTATGATTTGCTAAAAATGAAAATTCTCATTTTAATTTTGTTCTTATTAATTAAATAGATACATGAGTGTCATATTTCAAAAATATTTGAATCACTCACATTAAGTATGCAAATTTTAAATTATACTTATAGTAAATAAAAAGTAATATTTTACAAAATATTTATTCTAAACAATAAATCATGAATTAACAAAGTTTAAACAATTAGTTAAAAATTAACAAAATTTAACTAAAACAGTATAAAAAAATTATAAATACAGCTTTTACCTGACATTTGGAAATTAAATCTTCTAGTTCTTTTCTAAGAGCAATTAATTCAGGATCTTTAGGAGGCATTTTTATGGAGACACAATGTAAAACAAAATAATAAAATAATATGTGAACAAAGACAAAGTAAAATAACCAGACATCAATATATTTAATGCTATTAGATATAGGTCAAAATCCAATTAGTATCATTTCAATCAGGGCTTCTACAAAATATTGACAACTTTTTTAACTGCGGTTCAGAGCTGCTTGAGCAGCTTTTACTCTCTTAGTTAACAATGCTAATTTATCTTCACCAATATTTTTGACTGCATTTTTTACAAGAAAATGGCTTAAAAATAATGTCAATCCTTCTCGGAAAAAATGTAGTTCAAGATTTTTTGATGCTTTTACAAAGATATTTGCAGTTTCTTCATCATCAAGATCTTGCAATACTTTGATCAGAGTTTGTCTAATAAAGCTTACCATTAACTTATTTAAACTTCCCCAATCTATATTCTGAAATAAAATTTTAAAAGCTGTTAATCAATATTTTACTATATCAAAACATCTTTTCAAACATCAAGACAATTTCACTACAGTAAATAATGTACCTTTAAAACTGTTATTGGTAATGAATGACTGCGTAACAAATGAGCTAAAAATGAAGCCAATATTGGAAGTTGTCTTTTTTTTAAATCAGAAATTTCTTCCAAACGAACATTTATTGAGCGTTTTAAAAATGCCTAAATGTAATTAAATAAATAATAGATAATAAATAAATAAGTAAAATAATTAAAATTTTTTTTTTTGAAACCTACTTGAAATTTTCTATTTGATTCACACAACTGTTGAGCTATGAAACCAAAAAAAGGATTGTAAGTCTTATAAACTAATAAACAATGTATTAGTACACTAATAATTTCTTCTTGCTGGGGTCCTTTTAATCCTAAGCGAATAAGCTTATTAAATGCATCTAAATAATCCTATAATAAAAAATTATATGAAAATTATTTTTTAATAAATTAAACAATTTAATATTAAATACACACCTCTGCAGTAAATAAAATACAAAAAATATTTTTCCTGGTGTCAGTATTCATTCTATATTTTTTTGCTAACTCTAATAATTTTTTATCATAAATATCTGTAGTTTTTTGAGGCAAGTTTTTTGATGTCTGCTCCATCCCTTTCCAAGCTGAACCAACAATCCACCACCTACCTTTGTTTTCAGCTAAAATAATTGAATTAGAAAATTAATACAGTTTTTTAAAAATAAGATGTATACCTACCATTAAGTAAATCTTCAAATGATATAGCTAACTCAGCTGGTGTCTTATTGTATCTAAAATATGTTCGAATTGTTTTTTGTATGTGTTCAATATACACAGCATAGCACTGTTCTGAGCTGGTAGGTATTTTGTTAACATTATTATTCTTAATAGCTAGCAAAATTTCTAGCATAAATTTTACTCTTGAACTAAAAAAAAAATAATCATCAAAATTATAATTCCCTTAAAAATAATACAATACTAACTTGTTGTCAGTTGATTTACAAAAATCTGAACTTTTTTTTTGTATATCTAATAATAGCTTCTTAATTAACATTGGGTTATCCTTTCTAAGATTAAATCCAATAGTTCTTAATATACTTAAAATGAGATCAATATGTTTTTCTTCAAATTTCATTAGAAACTTGTCTAAGATCTCAAAAATAAATCCATTATGAAATACCTGAAATTCATAAATTTCAAAGTGTTTTAGTAGCAAACCAACTCAAAATTTTAAGGTGTTAGTTTTTTTTAAAATATTAATTTCCTATATCATTTTTTACATAATCAATACAATAAGTTATCAATTAAATAATATAATTGTTATTATGGTAATTTAATCAACCTAATGAAGCAGCTTCCAAGGCTGAGCAAGGTAGTAAGTTTTTCTAACTTGTAAGGTTAAGTTAGTTAAAAATTGATAAGTTATAAGTTAATTAATTTGAATAGCAATCTCAGTTCAGTTATGTTTATTTAATTACGGCAGTATATAGAAGATAAGTTGTCGGGACAATTTTTTTTTAAAATTAAAGTATATTACATATGTATTAATCTAATGTTTAAAAAAAGACGTAGTATTTCCTGAACATTTTTAAAAGTCAAGTTGAAAAAATTAAATTTTTTGTCAAAAATTGCTATTTTGAATCTTGCCTGTGGGAAGGTAAAGGGTCAGATTTTCAAAATGTATACCAAACAAAAGAGAAATATCTAAGGTTTTTATATAATAACAACTTTTTTAATTCGTACATTTTTAAAACAGTTTTGGCAGTTTTAAGATTTTTCTTAGAACTGCCATAACTTTTTCTAAAATTGTATACCACCAAACAAATGGGAAATATTTAAGGTATCTATAAAAAAAAAAAATTATTTTTATCCATACAGTTTTCAAAAAGATATGGTATTTTTAAGTAAAACAAGTATTAAAAATTGTCAAAATTTTCTGATTTTTAAAATATATTTCTTGGGAGATTTCTCCCATTTACCGGGAACGAGGGAAATTTTTAAAATTTTTGGATGTCTTCAACTAGATATGATTATAAAATTACTGTTGCTTTAGATAACCACAATGAAAATAATAACATTTAAAAAAAACTTACTTTAAAAGCATACATGCAACATAAAAGTAACACAATATTGTCTATAGTTTTATCTTCTATTTTTACAATTTTACTTTCATTTAATTCATTCAATTTATTCGCTAAATTTTGTAAAAAGAATGCACCTAAAAAAACAATATTTATTGTCAAAATTTTACAAATAAATTTCCATTTTAAGTTGATACAATAGAATAGAATTGCATGTATTTCATTTAACAGTTCAAAATTAGTAAAACTAGAAGTTAGTACTTGCAATAAAATGTAATAAATCTCTTTAAAATAATTTGTTACTATTTTATACTTAATAATTTTTAACTTGTTTTATTTCTCAAATAAGTGATTCAACTAAATATTTAAAAAATAATTTAATCAAACAATTTAGAAATAAAATAGAAGTTGTGTTTCTAAATATTAAGAATTTTGTAGTTTGAACTTCATAAATGTGTTTTATTAAAACACCATTATATTAAATAGTTAAAAAAATTATTCCCATTTTGCCATCATAATTTCTATACACAATATCTAAAAGGTATATGTGATAACCGTAGTCATATGTTATTGAAATAATATTATTATCATTTTGAGATGAACTGTCTAGAATTAAATGGTCCAATTTATAACTGGTTATCTCCATTATTTAAAATTACTTTAGTAGTGAATAAATTTTTCAACCGTTTGGTGTAATCACTGGGTTTATCTGTCTATTATAAGAATTAATTTCATAAAAATTAAAATGATTAATATACACAAATTAATACAAACATTATTTAGTTTTTTGTGTCTCCTGAGAAAATTTCAAAATTAGAGACAGCTGGTTATTGTAGCGGGCCTTTCAACTATAGACTTATTTTTTGAATCGCTTACCTACTTCATTACCAACATTTGTATGTAAAATTGTTATTAGTGTTGAAGATTCGACAATAATTCTATAGGGTGTTATGCATTGAGATTGAACTACAGAATTGTAAATACACTGATATAATGTTTCATTCATGTCATTACGGCTATTAACTTGATATAAATCTTCAATCTAAAAAAACAAATAATAATACTGCACATAATCATTTAATAAATTTATAAAAAAATTTAATTAACTACATTAGTGAAAAAATGATTGCCAATTTTTAAAATTCAATTTTTTTTTTTAAAAGTATAAAAAATGTATTTTTAAAATTATAATTTATTTACATTAACTAATTTGTTAAAATAAATAAAACTTATACTTGTCTACTAATGGAGTGCATATTAGTTTCAGCAAGTCTATTTAACAAACCCTTGATCTGTTGTCTAAGACGCTTAAGTTGTTCAGATTCATGAACATCTTTTTTCCTTAGATGCGGGGGCACATAAACTGATGAATTTTCCTAAAAATATGTTTTTAAGGTAATATTATCAATCAATAATTAAAATATTTTCTTTTAATAAAAGTAATTATAAACTCCCAAATTTTTATGTAGGAACAACAATAAAATTTATTGATTATTGACTATTTGACCTAACTGGCAAAAAAATACAATTTAATATAAGTAACAAAATTGTTATTCTGCATAAAAATAAAATAAATACCAATAAAAGATAATAAAGGATCTGATTAATTCATTTTTTTTTTTAGTAATATTCACGTTCTTCACTTCACTGTTAAAACAATTAAGTATATTTAACTTTTAATTTTAGGTATACATAGAATGTATAATTAGATTAAAATTGGCATCTCTTGATACTTGAAAAATGCTTTCTTTTTAAAAATATAAAGTTATATAAATTGTAGGTGTATAAAATATTGAAATATACATAAAAACAACTTATATTAATAGTATGATTATAGGGATTTAGGTGGTGTTGTGGATTATTTAGTTGTAGTTTTAGCATTGATAATCAGCTGCACTGTTTGCTGTTGTTATCCGGTTGGGTGACCATACAGGAACTATAACAGTGACACACAATTAGCCCCCTTACTGACTCCCTTAGCTATAATTAGATTACGTCAGGATGATAGATATTGTAAAAAGCCTGTTAAAAAGTTAGGTAGAGCCATTCTCAAATAGTTGGGATAGATACTAAGGAAATAATGATAATACTAATAGTATGATTATAATTAGGAATAATTACTATAATAGTGCCATCAGAATTTCTTATTCGTCCATAAATATCTTCTTTATGATTATAAACATTTTTATTAGACTTATTAATATTGTTTACATCTTTAAAATCATTAACATAATTATTATCATTATCACTATTAAAATTTTCTTCCTCATTGGAATTCATAAATTCTTCATTTGAAAAATTTTCGTTTTCGCTATTTAAATCACTAATATCATCATTTGACATATCATCTAGGTCAGATTCTTCTTCAAGTTTATTTTCATCATACTCATATTCAAAAGTCTCTTCGTGATTTATTTCTTCATCAAAAGTAACTTTTTTACTTTTCTTGTTTTCTTCATTTTGAGCCTTAGTATTTTTTCTTTTTAAAGAATTTATTGTGTTAAAATCATCTTCAAAATTTGAATCTATATCAAGTAAACTTTCTTTGAGCGTGGCACAATTTTTCCTAGTTTCCGGATCACAAACATCCAATAAATCTAAACAAAAAAATAAGAAATATAAAAATACAATAAATTAACTGAAAATTTTCCTTATAAGTAAATGTAAAATCTATTTAAGGATATTATTTCCATGGTATTATATTAGTTAAAATTTTGAATATTTGATTTCCAAAAAATTTGTAATTTCAAATAAGACAAATTATTATTTGTATAAAAAACCTTGTAGGTCATATTTTATTAATTTTACAAGAGAAGAAAAAAACTCTTGTTACCGAAGAAAGAATATTTAGTTATTAAATAATAATATGAATAATTTACGATGAAATTTTATTCTTATGATACTAAAAATAATGTATGTACAGTTTTACAAATCAGAAAAAATATTAAAAATATGACTAGTATGATTTGCCATATAGTTGTTTTATGTAGTAATAAAGTATTCCATATGATTTCTATCAATGGAATAAGTTATTAATTTTTTTAAAGAATAATGCTCAAAGAGTAAAAGTACTAAAAATAATGGAAGTATTTATATAAATAGATTTGATAGCATTTAAATGAAATACTTTAAATTTAAAAAGAATTTTTACAGATTAATTAGTTAAAAAAATATTTTACATTTAATTTATTTTAATGAATAATATTAGTTATTCATAAAAAGTGGAATATTTTTTCACATGTATCAAAAGTATAATAACATTTGCATTTATCAAAATAAATTATAATTAAAAAATAAATGTATAAAAGAATTATTAATAAGTTACAATCTAGTCCATCTTCAATAAATGATTTTCCAAAAGTTTTTCTTTTATCAAGTCTTAAATACTTTGATAATTTTTTGATTTCTTTATCTTCGTCAACATTTGCCTGCTTCATTTGTTCACGTCGATTTTTATTGTACTGCTTTTGTAATTTTAACTCTTCAACTTTTTCTTTATTTCTTTCTGCTACTCGCCAGTCAACTGACGTTGATATTTTAGTTGGAAGTTTTTTCTTTTTTAACTTAACACTCTGACTTTCTGATTCTAGAGCTTGAGGCAAGTGTTGTTTTTTTTGTTTTTTCGATTGCCGTTTTGCCTTACGCTCTGCTTTCCTAGATTTGAACACAAACTTTTGATCTGAACTGATAACAACATGATTTTTTTTTTTTACTTTCATGATTAATAGATGTAGAAAGTCTTAATATCTATAACTTATAAAAAACTAAAATTAAGGTCTCAAAATTTAAAAAAAAATGTGTAAATTTTGCTATTAATAATACAATTTACAAAAATATTTACTGTTTAATTTAATTGTTGAAATTTTCTTTCCATATCAATTTTAAAAAAGATTTCGTTGAAAGTGTTACTAAGCACGTTCAACGACTGTAATTTTATAAAATATAACTAATGGCTTTGACCATGCCGTTCGTTTGTTATCATTTATCAACATATTTTATCAATAATCATAACTGCGAACGAGATAGCATTCCATGATAACCATAGATATCTGTGAAGATAACAAATATAATATTTATATATTTAAGTGGGTTACGGAGATTGCCACGAACTGATAATGCTCCGACATTCATATACTCCGACACTGTAAAAAAATCCTCCGAATACATTTACTCCGACAACAATTACTACGAATACCTGGTTACAAAAATTTGGATGTTACTACGAAGACGAATACTCCGAATAGGACTATTAATTGATTGCTCCGAATAAAATTAGCTCCGAAAATCGATTATTCGCGAAATCGATTAAAAAATTACTAAATTTCGGATTAGATGAGTATTGTAGCCATATATTATCTGATGGAAAAATATAACACTTATCACTAATTAATAAATAATAATTAATATAATAAAATAGCGTTATAATTGATTACTGTCTATTAACGAATAATTATTACAATAAAGGTCCTCGAAATGTATCCGACTTTTGATAAAATACGTTCATAAAGGTAATGAAGGGGGCTTTGAACTAGAACAACCCCAGTTATATAACTGGTGTGAGCCCTTCAATTTTTTTTTTTTTTTGGAGGGGGAAGAAGAGCGATTTCAATTTTTGGACGTAAAATCTTTTTTACTTCTCCTTATTAGTGCCTATTATTATAACATTTAATTAGTATAGTTAAAAAATATAGGGGTATGTGTCACTGATGATAGGATTCGTCATTAAACTAGATATTATTATTAACACTATTATTATTATTAAAACTACACTATTATTATTCGTTTATACTTCAGCGAATAATATTTCACTTCTATTTTAAATATAAGAAAAAACCTGTAAACACGATAAAAGACAATTTATTTTGTACATTTGAGAAGCATTTGATAAGTACATATTTTTAAAAGTAATAACATTTATTTAATATTATATAATGTTTAACTACTGATAAATAAAATATCAAAGAATAACACTTGTGAAAAATAATGGAGTGTATTGTTAAAAATATGTGAAGCCTAATTTTGTAACNTATTGTTAAAAATATGTGAAGCCTAATTTTGTAACAATTTCATTGTAATTATTATTAAAAAACCCTGTACAAGGGGGTCGCGGCACAGTGGTGACGTGACATAGTTGGATCAAGTATAATGATATCTGACAGTGATTAAAATCACTATAAAAAAAAAAACGCTTCGATGCAAATCTTTAGATGGTGTTTAATTTTAAAAAATTGTTGGATTATTCCAAAAGCTACATGATCTACTATTTTCTTATTAATATCCTGAATGAAAAAGGAATTATTAAAAAATATTATTTCTCATAAAAAAATTGTATTAATCCATATACTTATCAATAAGTTTAACGAAAATAGCATTCGGTAGCCATTTTCACCACGAAGACAAGTCCAGAGGTCAAATTTTTTTTTTCATAATAAAGTATATTACATTATCTTAAATTTAGGATATATATAAAAATGTCAGACTTTCCGGAACATTTTCAAAAGTCAAGTTGAAAAATTTCTACTTTCTATATGCATTTTTATGTTTTGAACCTTTCCTGTATTAAGGGAAATGGTCCGATTTAAAATAAAAGTATGTCGAATTAAAGAGCTATATAAATATTATTTCTCATAAAAAAATTGTATTGATCCATACATTTTTCAAAAAGTTATAACATTTTAAAGTTCAAAATGTAAAATATAAAATCTAGAATTTTCACACAAAAAAAAAAGCATACGGTAGCCATTTTCACCGTGAAGACAAAATAAAGTCCGAAATTTTTTCTTTCCATAATAAAGTACATTAAATTAGCTTCTAATTGTTCTTTAAAGTGAAAGTTTTAATAAAAAAAAAATGAATTTATTACCATAACTTTTAACTCAACTTGCAAGTTTGAAATAAATATTATTAAATAGAAAAAAATGAAATTTGTAGATTATTTCAAAAACAACAATAACACTTATTCCCTTAATTTTACCCCGATTTATAACTATAATATATGAATACATAATAATTACAGTAATTAAATTGAGTATGAAAGTGGTATTCAATAATATAATATTGTAATTTTTACGGAGATATTATAAAAATAAAAAGGAGTTGTATATTCATATACTTTTAATGCGTATACAAATTTAAAGGAATTTATGCAATACTTTTTAATAAAAAAATTTTGTTACTTATGAATAAATACACTAAACAAAAGGAACTTTCATCAGAAAAAAAATATA